TATAAAACAGCTGGGCATGGTAGCACATGCCTGTGGTCCCAGCTACTTGGGAGGCTGAGGCAGAAGTATCACTTAGGCCCAGGAGTTTGAGGCTAGCCTGGACAACATAGCAAGACCCCATTTCAAAAAAAGATTAAAACTATAAAACACTGAAGAAATCAAATAAGTCCTAACTAGACATACTATGTGCATGAATTAGAAGACTCAACATAGTAATTCTCCCTGTAGTGATTTAATGCATTTCCAATAAAAATCTCAGTAGGGTTTTTTTTCCTAGATATAGACAAGCTGATTCTGAAGTTTTTATGAACAGGCAAAGGAACTAGAATAGCTAAAACAATTTCAAAATATAAGAAAAAAGTTGGAGGAATTACACCTTCTTAAGACTTAGTAAAAAGCTACAATAATTGATCGTGTAGTATTGGTGAAGGGGTGGACACAGATCAGTGGAACAAAATAAACAGACCTTACAAATACGGCCATCAAATTTTTGGAAAGGTGTAAAGGCAACTCAATGGTAAAATGACAGTCTTTTCAACAAATAATGTTGCGAGTGAAAATCCACAGGCAAAAAAAGAACCTCAAGCTAAATTTCACATCTTTATATAAAAACTAACTCTAAATGGATTACAGATCTGAAGTAACTACTTTTAGGGCAGGATTCTAGGAACATGGCAGAGTAGGAAGCACCAGGAATGTTTCCCCTCTTAAGAAAACAATTGCACTGGCAGAATCTGTCTGATACAACTATTTTGGAACTCTGGAGTCTATTGAAGGCTTGAAAATTCCAGGGGGAGGCTTGAACAGTAATTTGTGTTTAATTTTGGTCAATATCAGCTCTTAGAACAGTAGCAGCTACCCATCCCCCACGTCCAACCCTATGGCAGACAGCTGTGCATATGTTCCTGGAGTAGCCTGCACACAGCTTACAGGAGCCAGGGTGGGCCAAAAGGACCCTGTCCTCCAAATATCAGGGTTTTATGCTCTGATTACTGCTTCTGATAACAGAGATGTAGACAATGATGCAGGTGACCATTGTTGTTGCACCTTCTTCTATCATTTTTTATTTTTATTTTTATTTTTGAGATGGAGTCTTGCTCTGTCGCCCAGCCTGGAGTGCAGTGGCGTGATCTTGGCTCACTGCAACCTCTGTCTCCTGGGTTCCAGCAATTCTCCTGCTTCTGCCTCCTGGATAGTTGGGATTACAGGCCCCCGCCACCATGCCCAGGTAAGTTTTGTATTTTTAGTAGAGACGGGGTTTCACCATGTTAGCCAAGGTGGTCTCAAACTCCTGACCTCAGGTGATGCACCCGCCTTGGCCTCCCAAAGTGCTGGGATTACAGGCATGAGCCACCACACCTGGCCAACACCTTCTCCCATTGTTGCAAGCTCCTCCCCCTCTGCTGAACTAACTTATAGGGGATTTAAAGGGATGAAGGCCCCCTTTTAAAAAAAATCAACTCTTCATTTCTCTCTTTTTCCCCTTTTTGGAGCCAGAAATTAAAGACTAGGACATTCAAAAACAATTACATACATGGGCAAATTTGAAAATGAATGCCCATGCATGATCAGAGAAAGGCACAGGCTCAGAATAGATCTCAGAAGACCTCACATTTATACCTCAGGCTGATCCTTGGCACAGAGAGCCTACAACAATAATTTAAAAGAAAAATTTACCAGACCCAGCAAACCTTGATGAAGGGGAAGAATCTGATTTCTAGAATTACCACATTATTAGATTGAAATGTTCAGTTTTCAACAACAACAAAAATCACAAGACATACAAGAAACACGAAAGCACGGTCCATCCAAAAAATAAATCAACAGAAACTGTTCCTGAAAAATAACTGATGGCAGATCTACTAGATAAAGACTTTAAAACAACTGTCTTAAAGATGCCCAAAGAACTAAATAAAGATATGGAGATAGTCAAGAAAGAGATGTATGAACAAAATGGGAATAACAATAAAGAGATAGTAAGCCTAAAGTAAAAGTAAAAAGAAATTCTGGAGCTGAAAAGTACAATAACTAAAATGAAAAATTCACTTTAGGATTCAAAGACAGTTTTGAGGAAGCAGGAAAAAGAATCAGCACATTTGAAGACAGGACACTGGAAGTAATCAAGTCTAGGGAACAGAAAGGAAAAAGATCGAGGAAAGCGAATAGAGCCTAAAGGACCTGTGGAACACCATTATACACATAGTAGGAGTCCCAGAAGAATAAGAGAGAGAAAAGGGGAAAGAATATCTGAAACTTGGCTAAAAACTTCTGAAATTTGATGAAAGACATGAATATGAACATCCAAGAAGTTCAATGAACTCCAAGTAAAATAAAGAAACCCACACCAGGATACATTATAATCAGAGTCTCAAAAGTCAAAGACAAAAAGAGAATCTTGAAGCAGCAACAAAGAAGTGACTCACATAAAATACATTTTTTAAAAAATTAAAGACATAGGGTCTTCCTTTGTTGCCCAAGCTGATCTTGAACTCCAGATCTCAAGCAATCCTCCTGCCTTGGCCTCCCAAAGTGCTCGGATTTCAGGTGTGAAATCCCACTGCATCCCACTACAAGGGATCCTTAATGAGATTATTAGCAGATTTCTCATCAGAAATTTTGGAGACCAGAGGCAGTGGGACAACATATTTAAAATGTTAAAAGGAAAAAAAAAAATCAAACAAGAATACTATATCCGGAAAAACTGTCCTTCAAAAGTGATGGAGAAAGTAAGACATTCCTAAATAAACAAAAGCTGAGGGAATTCACTACCACTAGACTTGTCCTGTAAGAAATGCTCCAAGGGTGTCCTGCAAAGTAAAATAAAGAACAGTAGACAGTAACTTGAAACCGTATGAGGAAATAAAGATCTCAATAAAGGCAATTATAAGAGCTAGTATTATTGAAACAACAGTTTGTAAGTTTACTTTGTGACAAAATTTAAGAGACTGCTTTAAAAAACAATTATTAGTCTAAAAGCTAAAATTATTATAACTTTAGATTGTAATGCCACATTTGTTTTCTACATAATTTAAAAGACTAACACATTTAAAATAATTATTAGTTTCTATATTGGGGCACAAAATGTATAAAGACGTAATTATGTGACATAAATAATCAAAAGGGATGCAGATGCAGCTGTAAAGGAGCAGGATTTTTGTATGTTTTTGAAGTTAAGCTGTTATAAATTCAAATTTGAGTGTTTTAACTTTAGGATGTTAAATGTAATCCCCATGGTAACCACAAAGAAAATACAATAGTCCCCCCTTACCTGTGGTTTCACTTTCTGTAGTTTCAGTTATCCACAATCAACCACAGTCTGGAAATATTAAATGGAAAATTCCAGAAATAAACAATAAGTTTTAAATTGTATGCCATTCTGAGTAATATGATGAAATCTCGTGCTATCCTGCTCCATCCTGCCTGGGACATGAATCATCTCTTTGTCCAGTGTATCCACACCATATCTGCTACCTGTCCATCAGTCACTTGGTAGCCATCTTGGTTATCTATTGACTGCTGTGGTATCACAGCACCTGTGTTCAAGGAATCTTTATTTTACTTAATAATGACCCCAAAATGCAAGAGTAGTGATGCTGGCAATTTGGAGAGGTCAGATAAAAGGCAATTTGGAGAGAACAAAGCAGTAAACTGCTTCAAGTGAAAAGGTGAAAATTCTCAACAAGGAAGAAGAATCATATGCTTATATTGCTAAGATCTATAGTAAGAATGAAAATTCTATCCATGAAATTCTGAAGGAAAAAAAATTGTCATAGTATATGCAGGGTTCAGTACTATCCTTGGTTTCCAGCATCTACTGGGGGTCTTGGAACATATCCTGTATGGATAAAGGAAGGACTACTGTAGTTGTAGTATAAAAGAAAATGTACCAAAGAAAATGAGAAAGGAATTTAAATGTTTCACTATGGAAAATCAACTAACACAAAATAAGATAGTAGTGCAGAAAAATGAGGAACAATACAACTCTAAGGCATCTAGAAAACAACAGAATGACAGAACTAAGTCCCTTCTCATCAGTAATCACTTCAAATGTTAATTAAATGCCCCAATCAAAAGACAGTGATTGGCAGAATGGATAAACAGAAAATCTGATCCAACTATATGTTGTCTACAAAAGACTGACTTTAGATTTAAAGACACAAACAGATTGAAAGTAAAAGGGCAGAAGAAGATGTTTCATGCAAACAGTAACCAAAAGAGAGCAGGAATGGCTCTACTAATATTATATAAAATAGACTTTAAATCTAAAAAGGTTACAAGACATAAGGACATTATACATTAATAAAAAGCTCAATATAGCAAGAAGATAGAACAGTTATATACATTTATGCATCTAACAACAGACCATGAAAATATATAACACTTTCAGAAGAAAACAAAAAATCTTCATGACTTGTGGTTAGACAAAGATTTCTTAGCTGTGACACCAAAAGCCTGATCCACAAAAGGTAAAACTGATAAATTAGACTTCATTAAAATGAAAAACTTTTGCTCTGTGAAAGATCCTTTGCTTGGAGAGTTAAAAGATAAGGCACAGACATGAGAAGATATTTGCACGTCACATAAGCAACAAAGGAACTTTATATATCCAGAATATGTAAAGAACTCTCAAAACTCAACAGTAAGAAAATGACCAATGAAATGACCCAACTAAAAAATAGGCAAAAGGTTTGAATAGACGCTTCACCAAAAAGTATATACAGATGGAAAATAAGCATATGAAAAGATGTTCAACATCATTAGCCATTAGAGGAATGCAAACTAAAACCACAATGCGATACCACCACATATCTATTAGAATGCCTAAAACAAAAAATAGTAATACCGTTAAGTGCTGGTGAGGATGTGGACTGGAAACTCTCATATGTTGTTGTTGGAAATGCAAAATAGTATAGCCGCTTTGGAAAATGATTTGGCAGTTTTGTATTAATTTCAACATATAGTTACCATGTGACCCAGAAATGTCACTCCTAGTTACTTACCCTAGAGAAATAAGAACTTGGCCAGGTGCGGTGGCTCACGCCTGTAATCCCAGCACTTTGGGAGGCCAAGGCAGGTGGATCCCGAGGTTGGCAGATCCCGAGGTCAGGAGATCGAGACCATCCTGGCTAACATGGTGAAACCCCACGTCTACTAAAAATACAAAAACAAAATTAGCTGGGCGTGGTGACGGGCACCTGTAGTCCAAGATACTCGGGAGGGTGAGGCAGGAGAATGGTGTGAACCCAGGAGGCAGAGCTTGCAGTGAGCCAAGATTGCGCCACTGCACTCCAGCCTGGGTGACAGAGCGGGACTCAAAAAGAGAAAAAAAAAAAAAAGAAATAAGAACTTGTGTTCACACAAAAACCTGTACATCAGAGTTTATTGAAACTTTATTCATAGTGGCCCAAAGCTGGAAATAATCCAATGTCCTTCAACAGGAAAATGGATAAACTATTGTATAAGCGCACAGTGAAGTACTGTTTATCAATAAAAAGGAATGATCTATTGATACATGCAACAACATGGTTAAATATCAAAGGCATATGCTGCATGAAACCAAACATGCAGCATATGATTCCATTTGTATGACATTCTGGGAAGACAAAACTGCGATGACAGAGAACATCAGTGGGGTTGCCAGGGATTAGAGATGGAGAAAGTTTGAACGCAAAGGGATAGTATGAGGGAGTTTTTGAGGGGTGATGGAACTGTTGTGTTTCCTGATTGTGGTGGTGGTTACATGAATCAATTCATAAGTTAAAATTCATAGAACTGTATGCCAAATAAAGATCAATTTTACTGTATGTTAAATTGAAAAGTAAAAAAAAGTTACAGGAATAAATGTATACTCACAAACTGAAATAACTACTTTGAAGGAAATGAACATTCCATGAGAGCCTAAGAGAGAGGAAGGACACTGTTATGTGATGAAGGAAAGCATCAGGAATGTTTTCCCTGAGGAAGTGAGGCTTGAGTTGGGTTCTAAAGAATGATTTAGAATTTACTGGGGCTAAAGGAAGGTTGATTCTCACAGAAGGATTTGCATGTGCAAAGGCCCCAGAGTAGGAGGAAGATGGCTCATTTTCATCTAAAAAGGACTAGAGCACAGGGAGTTCCCTGGAGGGTGGGAGAAGTGGTGATGGGGAGTGAAAAAAATCTAACCTGTAGTAAGAGTCATTATGCCTGACTGCTCTAGGTGGGGCCTAGGTTAGGGCGGGTGGAGAGGTGTAGCTGTGGGCTGGCCTTATAACTTCACTGACAGTTGGAACATCTTGCAGAGACCTGGGCAATTAGACCCCCCAGGGCAATGCTGGACCTGGGACTGGATTCTCAGTAGTCCTTGCAGGAGGCGGCCTGCTCCCAAACCCAAAGATTCCAGACACCCTGCAGGGCCACATTTACGATAGACCCTAAAGTGCCCTCTCCTGAGGCCCCTGTCTTGTTCAGGAGAGTATTGACAGCTCAGTAATATACACTAAGCTTTCTGAGGGGCTTAAGGACTTTGAGAGATAAGACAGTCTGGCTTTTATAGACTCCCACAAGGCCCCAGTGATGTAGTTGTTTACAGAAATACTTGTGTTAATAATCAGGTATTTTTCAGATGTGGGCAACAAATCCCCATCACCCTACCCTGAACCACTTTACTGTCCCCCAGGCTCCAAGCCCAGGGCCCTCTCCCCATTTCCAGGCCTCAGGGCCTGCCTTATCCAGGGCTGGGGATGGAGGCTAGAGAGTGACACAGATCAACTTATAAGTTGTCAGTTGACCATTTAATGGAAGTCTACACCGAATAATCCTTTGCCAAGTGAATAGCCCCGGAATTTGTTTTGTGGTGTAATAAGGGTTGCCAAATGCCTTAGTTTACATACAACAGCCTGGCATATATTCAGTGAGGCACGACTCTAGGCACTTTATGGGCCAAATTTAGGCAGTTATCATGATTTCTATTTCAGAGATGAAGAAACTGAGGCCTTGGTCAGTGACTTGAAAAGTCACATAGCTAGAAAATGGCCAAGATTTGGATCCAGGACTGCCTAACTTCAATGTTCTGGCTCACTGATTCTCAAACATTAGTATTTGGGTCGTGAGATGGAAATTTACCAAAAATGCAGATTCTTGCTCCCATCTGGGCCGGGAAATCAGCATTCCAAACTTTAAACTAGGGGACTCCAGGGGTCTGTCTCTCTCCACCTGAAGAATTTGGGGGATGTTGCGAATGACCTGAAGCCTGAGAGGAAGTGCAACACTGCAGGGCTCTCAGGAGCGGGTACCCTGCTGACCCCTGTGACTAGGCCTAACCGTCTGGGTTCTGCGGCCCAGTGCTCTAGACTCTCACCTGCCCGGAGGTGCGCTTGGGGTCCAGATTGGCCGATGAATATGTATATCCGCAGCGCCTCCTTCACTCCGAAGACTTTCACTTTCCCCCTTGCACAAAACCGAACATCCCACCCCACCCCCACCTCCAAGCTAAAATACCTGGGCCGCCCCTCCCCACGAAGGGACGCCCTCCAGGCGAATGGGGAGGGCCCGGAAGTCGGGCCTGAGACAGGGGAGCCGGCCCACCGCCTCCCGGTCGGAAGCGGCAGTGCAGGTGAGGCCGCGGCCAGCCTGGGGACTGCGCGGGTAAGGAGCGGGAGGGCCGACTGCACCGCGAAGTTGGCGGGGGACGGCCGCGCACGCCTCGCCTCGGCCTTCCTGCCCCGTAGGGGCTGGCCGCCCTCCCGCCACCCCTGGGCACCTGCCGACCACGTCTGGGCGGGGGCGGGCCGGCTCCGGCCCTCGGGCCCTCACCCCACCCCGGCCAGCCGCGGCGGGGACGTCGGGTCAGCGAAGGGTTAAGGGACTTGCTCCCTTCTCTCGGCTCCCTCACCCTTGGAAAGTCCCCGAAATGACGTTTCAACCCGACAATTTAAAAAAGAGTTTAATTATAGAGACAGGCTCTGGGAGCTGGAACAAACTCTCGGTCGGCGGGGCCGGTAAACAACTCGGGAGCGAGCGGGCTAGGCCAGCCGCAGCCTTGCGGAGCCCGCGCCCCTAGGGAGAGGGGGAGGGGAGGGCCGCCGGGAGTTGGAAAAGCCGAGGAAATTCGAGGAATCAGCTTTCTTTGGAAAAACCCACTTTGTAGCCATTCTGGGGCGCCTGATGGTGCTCCTGGCGGGTCCTGCAGCCTTGTAGCGAAAGCGGCGCCGCCCGAAGCAGGGGCACAGCCGGTGCCCCGCGGGGACAGGCCCTGGGCCGGGAAGGGGCCCCGCCCGCTCCCAGTCCCCTTCCCCTTTGCTTTTTTCCAGCCCCTCCTCCGGTCCCCCAAGCTGAGCTTCGCGAACCCTCGGGAGTTAAAGACCCGCCGGCCCTTTCTTTTTGGGGGGTGGGGGAGCGGGAATGGGTGGAGGCCAGGGGAATAAAAAACCGAAATAGCTTCACATCAGAACTCAGACTAACCTTGTGGTTTCAACGCGCACCCTGCTCTGTCCTGAAATCTGGAACTCATTACCTCATCACCAAGAAACTGCACGAAATCTTCCCCCCCGCCCCAACACCCACTTCGGCTGGGAAAAGAACGAGCAAACATCCCTGTAAGAAAGAAACCTACACTTGAATGATTTAAATTAAGGTGGATGGAAGTTATTTCCCTTTCTGGCGCTTGCCAGATTTCAAGAAAAGCGGAAAAATGGGAGCAGGGGGAGGGAAGCAACAGGCGGCTGCAGGGCAGCAGCCGGGTTAAAGTGGGGGCCGTCCATTTCAGGCAGAGGAGACGAACGAAAGCCGACGCCGCTGGGATCACGTAGGTTCGTGGCTGTAGCAAACGTTGTGTTTCGCAAAGCTGAAAAACAACCGGTTTCTCAAACAGTTGTGATTTGGAAGGTTTCGCTGGGTTTGCCCAGATGTTGATGAATAAATAAGAAATGCATTAAAAAAAAAAAAAAGTGTGTGTTGGGGGTGGTGAGAGTGTGACTCGAGCGCTCTCTTCTGTCCGCCCCGTCCTTTCCAAAGAAACGTGCTCATGATGGGGTGACCTAATTACATCGCAATGGAACTCAATCTTAGCCACACCAGCACCGGGTTTCATAACAGACTCGGCGGCCTCGAGTGCTGGGAAGAAACGTGCGAGGGCCGAGGGGGCGGCGGGGCCCGCGTGGAAATCGGAAAAAAGCGCAGCCCTGCGACTTCCGCCCGGGTCATCACACCAGCAGTCGGGCCAAGGCGCAAGGGGCGGGTGGGGGACACGATAACTTTTTATTTGGGTGGGTGGCATCCAAACCTAACAGTATATATTTTATCATTTTCAAGGGAGTCATGCTCCATTGCGGGCCCTTCGGTTTCGTGGCTCCCATGCCCCCCACTCCACCTCCCGCCAAAACGGGGAAGCGTGACAAGCCATACGTTCCACTCCCGTGGGGGCGAGAGAGAAGTAACAAGTTTAAAGTGCCGCCTCCGTCCACCTCTTTACCTTCATTCTTACCAAAGTAACCTTTTTTCATTGTTCTAGAGTCTTGAGGTGTGTGGGGGGAGGATGGAGGAGGAGGGAGGGTTGTGGCGCCGCCTAGAATTCAGAGCGCGCGTGGAAAGTAGTGAGTTAGTTGCTCGGTGGGCTTTTTCTGGGAGGAAGGGGCATTCAGGAAGGATTAGGGTTTTCTTGACTAAAGTTTAAAGATTGGATGCGTGAAAAGAAACGCCACGCCTAGGCCTGGTAAAACAATCGGCCCTGGTTGTGGTCTTTTTTTGCGACGCCCCCCCCACCCGCCCACACCCGGAGAGCGCCGGCTGCAAAGCGAGCGCGAGTATCAACGCGTGCGGCGCGCTAAATTGTGCCGCGCTCGCCCCCGCCAGGCCGTGTCCTCCTGGGGGAAAAAGTTTCCCTAGTCCCCCCCGCACCGCGCCCCACCCTACGCCCCGCTGGAAAAAAAACAGCAACATAAAATCCTAGACTTGAACGTTCTGTGCGTCCCAAATTTCTAATGTCCTCGGCCTGCCGGGTTTGCGGAGGGGAGGCGAGTGTAGAAGAGAAGTCGGGAAAAGGTAAGTTGTGCAGACACTTGGGGAAGTTTCAAGGGGACCACCAGCTCAAGATGGAAACCGCGGACCGGGCGCTAAGGACGGGCTTCAGCTCCCGCAGGCAAAAAGAGAAAGTCGAGCCCGCCTTCCTGCCCAACAAAAAACAACAACACGACAACAAGAACCCCGGAGGGAGTGGAATGAGTGACGTCACAGCCGCGCTCTGAGGCTGACAAAGGAGGGGGCGCACCCCTCCCGCCCTGCGCCCGCGCAGCCCCGGAGAGGGGCGCCTGAAGCGCCGGGTAGGGAAGTCAGCCGACTCGAAACTTTTCCTCTTTAAGAAAAAAAAAAGTTGTGCGCGGCTCGGAGTGGTTTTTTTTTTTTTTTTTTTTTCCGCCTTCTTTTCTCGTCTCCCCTCCCCCTTCTTCCTTTTGAAAGTTTCTTCTCCTCCCCCTGCCCCCCCTCCCCGCCTGACCGCATGGCTGATTCAACTCCAGTGTCAATCAACTTCTTTTTCCTCCTCTTCCTCATTTAAATAAGTTTAAAGCTCCTCCTCCCCCCGGCCCACCAAATCTGAAACTTTATAAATTGGGCTTTGCGCGCCCCAGCCCCGGAGTCAGAAAGGCGAGGGGCGCCGGGAACTGGCGTGTGGGACTCCAGACAGGAGAGGCTGCGCCTTCCCCGCATCGGGACCTTCGCGACACACCAGATCCTCGCCCCTGGCCCGCGCGAGCGCACAGAATGACCACCACCCTCGTGTCTGCCACCATCTTCGACTTGAGCGAAGTTTTATGCAAGGTAAAGGGGGGCGGAGCATTTGCTTTTCAAAAAGTCTTTTTCTTTTGCCTTAAAAAATAATCCCCAAAAGTTTAGGTCTTGGAAGGCAGTGGGGTAGGTGGTGCAGCGAGATGATTCTTTTCTCCTCCCGCATTTCTCCCAAGTTTGAAGGAATTTGGCCTCGTCCTTCCCACCCTTTGAGTTTCAACAGTTCCTGGCGGGGATTACATGTGAATCTGGAGGTCAGGGTTTTGAGGGGCGAAGTTTGCCTGGCAGGGCAGCCCGGGGGCCTCGGAGGGAGGGCTGAGATTGTGACAAGTTTTGGGCGATTCTTTTTACGTAACGTGCTGCTGGATCCCAGGTTCACTGCTCTGATCGGGTTCCCAGTGTGCGTCCTAGGTCTGTCCAGCAGCATTACCCACCCGTGGGGTTGGGAGTGGGAGATCCCTCGGGGAAGTGAGTCTCGGACGTTGTTTTCCTCCACTCTTTGCGGGGTGCTGGGGCTATGCGAGGAAGAAAGGCCAAGTTGTGATTCAAAAAGATGTTGCAGAACAAGTTTGCAGTGGGGCTTGAGTCCGCCCTAGCTCCGTTGGGCTTCTTCCCGCGATAGCCGATCGTGCAGCAAACTTTGGGGTGAAAGAGGCATTCAGGTTGACCCGCTTACCTGTGTTGCAGAGGCATTGCGGTTCGTCGATTGCGGCGGGGGGGGGGGGGGAGGGGGGGGGGGGGGGGCGACGAAATGCTGGCTTGAACTCAAGAGTCCCGCGAGTAAGGATTTAATGGGGGCCTCCTTAAAACATGTTGCTTGTCAGCCAGTGTTGAAAAAGCAAGTTTTAAGCTCGGAATGTTCCAGGACTGCGGTTTAAATATACATAGCAAAAGCCTACGGATGTTGTTAAATTTCTTTCCAACCTCCCCCTCCCAATTTGAAAGGGTGAAGCTGCTGGGCTACTTTTTAATTGCTGAAGTGTTCTGCCTTCTCTTAACACGTCGGGTCATGTTGCTCTGTTTTCCCAGCTTGCTGCTCCTGTTGGTGCAGCTGCCAACGCCCCAGGGCTTCAGGGTTGGGGTGCAGGGACGCCGAGGAGCTGAAGAGTAACTTTAAAAAAGTTTGAATTTTTCAGCTTCCTTCCCTTCCTGCACATTCCCAAACTCCACTTGCCGGCCGGGCTGCCAGAGCTCCCCAACACTTCTTCCTTCTTTTCTCGACTCTCCCGGCTCTTTGATCTATTTCTTTCTTTGGCCCCCTCCCCCCCTCAGGACTTTTTAAATGAACCTCATTGTTGGGAACCAGCTCTCCACTGGGTTCCTGTAATCCTCTCGGTGGGGTGGTTGCAGTTACAGATTCCCGGTCCCCCCCTGCTGATCCTAAGGGAGCAACATTAGAATTTGCACAATGACACCCACATGGGCTGGGAACTAACTCCTAGGTCCCTGACCTGCACCCTTTCCAAATCTTGGGTATATTCGGGCAGGTGATGAGGGTCCTATTGGAACAGAAACCTGCCATTGGTGGCTCTGCCCCCATCCCCACCACCCCCAATCTGCTATTGACAAGGAGTTGGGTAGGGGGGTTGGTGCTTTCCTTTTCCTTTCCATCTGCAGCTTTGCGTTAAAGATTAAACACTGGAGCTCTTATCCAAGCCTGCTATTGCAGCCAGAAGACTAATTGCAAAGGCATCTTCTCAGTGAAGGGGGCGGGGTGGGCTGGGGGTGAGTGGAAATGGTGAGAGATTATTGTAGAAAATATCTTTTCTGGGAACTTAGGGCAAAGAGTTTTATTTTCAGGAATCACATCCCTGTCTCCCTCAACCTCAGACCAGGCCCCCAATCTCCTCCCCACAAGAAAAAGCAAAGGCAGTCTGAAAACCTGTTGCCGAAGGAAGGGAACACTTCTGAAGGAGAAATTTGAGAGTCTTAGGCCAGGTCTTGAGGGAGGGGGTATCAATTAAGCAGAGACTGATTAGAAGGGGACCTAAACTAGGCTATAATAGACTCCTTTCTGAGGTTTACCTGTTTTTGTTGCGGCGGGGGGCGGGGGGGGGGGGCAATCTAGATAGGTCCGGGTTGTGTGAGATATTTTGAGTTGAAGAATCTGTTTGACCAGTAAAGAAGTTGAACTTTACAGATTAAAGTGGTAGCTTTGGGGACAGAGGATATGGGGGTTGCATTTCAGGAGTCAGCGTGGAGCAGTGTGCTTGTCACACAGTCTGGATCTTGTGGTGAATGGCCTATGGGAGGGAGAGAGCGAAGGGAGCTTGCTAGAGCAGAGGTAGAGATGAGTTCTTTGAGAAGGAGCGGGCGTTTGTGATTGTGTAGGGGGCTGCCCATAGTGGACATCCTGGTGGGATTTCCTCCGTCCTTACCATCCTCTCTCTTCTCTCTCCAGGGTAACAAGATGCTCAACTACAGTGCTCCCAGTGCAGGGGGTTGCCTGCTGGACAGAAAGGCAGTGGGCACCCCTGCTGGTGGGGGCTTCCCTCGGAGGCACTCAGTCACCCTGCCCAGCTCCAAGTTCCACCAGAACCAGCTCCTCAGCAGCCTCAAGGGTGAGCCAGCCCCCGCTCTGAGCTCGCGAGACAGCCGCTTCCGAGACCGCTCCTTCTCGGAAGGGGGCGAGCGGCTGCTGCCCACCCAGAAGCAGCCCGGGAGCGGCCAGGTCAACTCCAGCCGCTACAAGACGGAGCTGTGCCGCCCCTTTGAGGAAAACGGTGCCTGTAAGTACGGGGACAAGTGCCAGTTCGCACACGGCATCCACGAGCTCCGCAGCCTGACCCGCCACCCCAAGTACAAGACGGAGCTGTGCCGCACCTTCCACACCATCGGCTTTTGCCCCTACGGGCCCCGCTGTCACTTCATCCACAACGCCGAAGAGCGCCGTGCCCTGGCCGGGGCCCGGGACCTCTCCGCTGACCGTCCCCGCCTCCAGCATAGCTTTAGCTTTGCTGGGTTTCCCAGTGCCGCTGCCACCGCCGCTGCCACCGGGCTGCTGGACAGCCCCACGTCCATCACCCCACCCCCTATTCTGAGCGCCGATGACCTCCTGGGCTCACCTACCCTGCCCGATGGCACCAATAACCCTTTTGCCTTCTCCAGCCAGGAGCTGGCAAGCCTCTTTGCCCCTAGCATGGGGCTGCCCGGGGGTGGCTCCCCA